ACGTCCAGACACGACGATCCGGTGGAAGGTCCGAAGATCGAAAACGTTTACTACGCGTCCGAAGGTTACCTGCTGCATCTGGTCCGGAAGTGGCTGACCTCCAATCCCGGCAAAAGCAAGCGGGACAAGCACGCGCTGGTCGGTCTGATTCGACCGAGGTTGCTGAACGATCCGGACGTGCTGCTGAGCGTCCACCGCAAGCTCTTTCATCTGTCGTCCATCGACCAGCTCTTCAAGGACGCGACCGAATACGCCAAGTCCGTCTTCCGGCACCACTCGATGAACGAGAACGACGAGCTCGGCGTCCGTCACAGCGTTCCGCAGACGGCGACCTTCGGCACTTCTCCTGCGTGCCGTCCGCCGAAACCTTCCGTTCGTCCATTCGTGCACGTCCAGAACTCCTCCATGAGCGCTTCTTTTTACCGAACGGCGGTCGCGAGAAACCTCGCGTACATGGTTTGTCCGGACGGGAGCCTCGAATACGGTTGCTCGATACGCCTGCTTCGCTACAATCCGATCAACGGCACGTTCGTCAGATTGTCGGATTCGCTGGTGCCGCGAACGAACGAGTCGGTGTCCTTGTGCCAGATCGACGAACACGTCCTACTGCTGAGCGGCGGGGGCCCTAAGGAACTGGAAACGTACGATCTGTCGAACGAGCGACAAGGCGGCGGCGTCTGGAAGGTGCACGCGAACTTCGAGGAGGTCGGCGTCGATTCCTACGTCGCGCACACCGCCTGCCGGCACCACTCCGACCTTTGTCTGTGGTACGTCGACGGACACGGAGATCACCTTCTGATCGTGATGAGACGTGCGATCGGCGGATTAGAGGGTAGGAGGACGCACGGAGAATGGAAGGTGATACTCAGACATCCGATCGCCGTTCCGGAAAAACACAGGCAGAAGGACAGCGAGCGTCTAACTTTGCATTCTTTTCCTGAAAGCGACGCGGTCGTCGCCTTCCACGGCAACGTCGTCACGACCGTTCACGTTCCGTCCAGCTCCTTCAACTCCACATCGATCCCTTCGCACCCGACGCCTGGAGATTGGGTGTCCGAGACGAAGTTCGCCGACGCCGATTTCGTGTACAGGATCGGTCTCAACGGGATAGTCGACAGGGTCGTCTTCTCACGATCGGAAACGTTCGGTGTCAAAATCAAAGTGGTGGACAGGACGACGACCCTCGATCACGAGTTTATCGTTACCGCCGTCCCGCTCCTCTTCCCGGAAGGCCGGGTGCCCGCTGCGACGATGATGAACACGGTGCCTCGAAAGGTTACCTCGAAGAGGTTTTCTCTTCTGCGAAGGAAGAACTCCGGAAGAGTTTAGAGCGAACGAACACGGAGGAGGGAGATCACTTTCTCTGCGAACGTCCACATGAAAAGACATGAAGGAGTTCCTGTTTTCAATCGTCCTCGGATCCGACGATCACGGATTCCTGTCCGACGATTTCTGCGGCGGAGCGCACGTGTTCGCATCGGACGACAGCGGCATCAAGGCAATCGTCAACTTTCGTAATGCATCAGCCTACTTTCACGGGTTGTTCGAGTCGCCGTTCGCGATGGCGTCCCTTCACCTAAACGTCGAC